AAAAACCAGCTGTAGAGTTAGGTATCGAGGAACAAAATCCAATTGATATAAAACCAGTAAGACATGTTATTGAAAATTGAATTGAATGCTTTAATCCTTATTTATATATATTGTATTGCGTTATTAGGCAGTTGTAAGATATACTGGTGTCCCTGACGATGCTATAAATATAATCGAAGAACAAGCTGTAGGGTTAGATATCGATGAACAAAACCCAATTGATATACAAACAGTAAGACGTGTTATTAAATGATAATAATTTTTATTTCTATAATTGTAATGTGTTTCTAGGCAGTTGTGAGAAATCCTGGTGTCCCTGACGATTCTATAAATATAATCGAAGAACAAGCCGTAATGTTAGATAACAAGGAACAAAATCCAATTGATATACAACCAGTAAGACATGTTTTTGAACATTTTATTGAATGCTATTAATATTTATTTATATATATTGTAATGTGTTTTTAGGAAGTTGTAAGAAATCCTTGTGTTCCTGACGATGCTATAAATATAATCGCAGGACATGCTGTAATGTTAGATAACAAGGAACAAAATCCAATTGATATACAACCAGTAAGACATGTTTTTGAACATTTCATTGAATGCTATTAATATTTATTTATATATATATATATATATATATTGTAAAGTGTTTTTATGCTGTTGTAAGAAATCCTTGAATCCCTGACGATGCTATAAATATAATCGAAGAACAAGCTGTAGGGTTAGATATCGAGGAACAAAATCCAATTGATATACAAACAGTAAGACGTGTTATTGAATGTTAATAATTTTTGTTTCTATATATTGTAATGTGTTTTTAGGAAGTTGTAAGAAATCCTTGTGTTCCTGACGATGCTATAAATATAATCGAAGGACATGCTGTAATGTTAGGTAACAAGGAACAAAATCCAATTGATATACAAACAGTAAGACGTGTTATTAAATGATAATAATTTTTAGTTCTATATATTGTAATGTGTTTTTAGGCAGTTGTGAGAAATCCTGGTGTCCCTGACGATTCTATAAATATAATCGAAGAACAAGCCGTAATGTTAGATAACAAGGAACAAAATCCAATTGATATACAAACAGTAAGACGTGTTATTGAACATTTCATTGAATGCTATCAATATCTATTTATATATATTGTAATGTGTTTTTAGGCAGTTGTGAGAAATCCTGGTGTCCCTGACGATTCTATAAATATAATCGAAGAACAAGCCGTAATGTTAGATGTCGAGGAACAAAACCCAATTGATATACAAACAGTAAGACGTAATATTAAATGATAATAATTTTTATTTCTATATATTGTAATGTGTTTTTAGGCAGTTGTAAAATATACTGGTGTCCCTGACGATGCTATAAATACAATCGAAGGACATGCTGTAATGTTAGATAACAAGGAACAAAATCCAATTGATCTACAACTAGTAAGTCATGTTATTGAACATTTCATTGAATGCTATTAATATCTATTTATATATTTATATTGTAATGTGTTATTAGGCAGTTGTAAGAAATTCTGGTGTCCCTGACGATTCTATAAATATAATCAAAGAACCAGCTGTAGGGTTAGATATCGAGGAACAAAACCCAATTGATATACAAACAGTAAGACGTTTTATTAAATGATAATAATTTTTATTTCTATATATTGTAATGTGATTTTAGGCAGTTGGAGAAATCCTGGTGACCCTGACGATTCTATAAATATAATCGAAGAACAAGCTGTAGGGTTAGATATCGAGGAACAAAATCCAATTGATATACAAACAGTATGACATGTTTTTGAACATTTTATTGAATGCTATTAATATTTTTTTCTATATATTGTAATGTGTTTTTAGGAAGTTGTATGAAATCCTTGTGTTCC